GGTAAAACTTGACTAATAACTGAATAAAAGAGAATCGACCAAGAGGTCACCTTAAAAAAAAAAAAAAAAAAAAAAATAATAATAATAATATTAAAGTAACTATCACTACAATAAAAAAAGTATGGAACTAGTAGTAACGATATCAAAATTAGATAGTTTTCAAAGATTAAAAAAAAAATTTTTTTAAAAAAAACTTCATGTATTTTGCTAGTAAATAAGAAAGCTTGGGCTGGTAGTAATAACGTAAAATTTAGGTGATTATTCACTTTTTCTAAGAACAAAGTACTAATATTTCTAGTGTTAAAAGATTTAAAGTCTTAGTAACTTAAAAAAACCTGTATTTTTGTAGCTTTGTAAACTCTAAAAACGAATCTGTGAAAATATTGACCGATTATGAAATTACTTACTCTGAATTTCTTGGCTTTTTAAAAATTCACTATAGTTTAATTTTTTAATTTTAGCATGTGAAAAATGCGAAAAATATGAATATTTATATAAAATTTAGTGAATCTTATTCTAGAATATGGTATATTACACGAATTTACAATTTGATATATATAGAAATATCCCCAACAGTACTATCCAGAAATATCTCAATTTTTGAATCTAAAAGAAGAAATAAACATTAGAGCATCAAAAAAAAAAATTACAAAAAAAAAGTACAATAAATGAAATAAAACTGTTAATAATTACTTTTGTTTCTTCTGATTCAAGATTATTTGAATTAAGGTACAAAAAAGTCAACACAGTGTTTTTATAAAGTGCATCTGCTAATGTATTTCTACTTCTTGGCCCAAGATTACTATAACAATGCATTTCCACTTTTTCTGATCCAAGATTCTTTCTCTCCTTCTGATCTAAGATCATTTGAATTAATATATAAAAAAATTAGAATAGTGTTTTTACAAAAATGTATTTGCTAATACATTCTCTCTTCTGGTTCAAGATTATTGTAATTAAGATCTAAAAAAGCTTGCAGCATTTTTGCAAAATGCTATTTTTATTCTTCTAATCTAAATTTACTCTGATCAAGATCCAGAGAAGTCAGCGTAGTTTCTTGAAAAGTGCATCTACTAACGCTTTCCTTTTGATCCAAGATTCTCTTCTTCCTACTAATCTAAGATTATTCAAATTGAGATGCAAAGAAGTCAGTGATGTTTTTACAAAGTGTATTTGTTAATGCATTCCTTCTCTCGGTCTAAAGATTATTATAACCAAAATCTAAAAAACCTAGTGTGGTATTTCTGCAAGATGCTATTTTTCTTCTAATTCAAATTTATTCTAGTTAAGATCCAAAAAAGTCAGTGTAGCATTCTTGCAAAATGCATCTGCTAACGCTTTCCACCTTCTGATTCAAGATTCTGATTTCCTTCTCTGATCCAAGATTCTGATCCAAGATTCTTTTTCTCCTTTTAATCTAAGAATATTTAAATTAAAATCAAAAAAGTCAGTGTAGTGTTTTTAACAAAAGTGTATTTGCTAATGCATTTCTCTTCTGGGTTCAAGATTATTGTAACTAAGCTTTAAAAAAACCTAGCGCAAAATGCTATTTTTCTTTTTCTAAACAAGTTTATTCTGACTAAGACTGAATATTATAAAAAAAACGTAATAATACTGTAATAAAAGTGTAGAAATTCAGTAAACCAAGAATTGTAAATTTAAAATTTACCTTTTTTCAAGTCTTATTTATTTTGTTAAAAAAAATTGATTATGATTGATTTTTTATTGATTTTAGAACCTTGGAACCTCTACTTTCTATATATATAATTATTAATTATCAACAAATACTATAAAAGATCTAAAAGCATTAGTCAAAAAGTATAACTATAAGCCAATAAAAATTTAAGAAATTTTGTAGATCATTCTAGAATTGATAATCAAAATTCTAAAACGTAATCTGTTATACAAAATGCAATCTACCAAATTTGGAAAAATCCCTGACTGAATATTATATATTTTAAGAAAAATTATAGATGGCGACCCTATATGATTGACCAATTATTTTTTAGATTGGTGATTATATAAGTAGATCATAGATCGTAATTTTTTTTTGGTTTGCTTTGTTATTTGTTTTGCTTTTTGTTTTGCTTTTGCTTTGTTTTTTACTTTGCTTTTTGCTTCTTTTTGCTTTGCTTTTTGCTTTGCTTTTCATTTCGATTTTTTTTTGTTTTTTGCTTTGCTTTTTGCTTTGCTTTAAACAGGTTTGTATTTAGTTTTTTTTTGTTTTTTTTTTTCTTTATTTCTTTATTTTAAAACTAACAATTTTTTTTTTTGTCTTTTCGTTTCTTTAGTCTTTTCGTTTCTTTTTTCTTTTCATTTCTTGTTGTTTTCAGTTTTATTTTTTTTTTCTTTTTATTTCCTTTCTATTCGGTTCTTTTTTTGTTCCTTTTCTATTTCTTTTCTTCTTTGCTTGTTATTCCTTTCGTCTCTTTTCCTTTGTTCTTTTCTCTTTGTTTCTTTTTTTTTTCTTTCCCCTTTTGTTCTTTTTTCTTTCATTATTTTTTTATTTTCTTTTTCTCTCTTTTCTCTTTGTTCCTTTTTTTTCTTTCCTCTTTCGTTTTTTTCCACTTTTGTTATTTTTTTCCCTTTTCATTTTTTATTTTTTGTTTTCTTTTTGTTTCTTTTTTTTTTGTTCCCTCTTTTTCCTATTCTTCTACGTTACTTTTTCTTTATTCCTTTCGGTTCTTTTTTTTTATTCTCTTTAGTTTTTTTTCTTTGTTTCCTTTGGTTCTTGTCTTTTTCTTCGTTCCTTTTGGTTCTTGTCTTTTTCTTCATTTTCTTTGGTTCTTGTCTTTTTCTTCTCCTTTCAGTTCTTGTCTTTTTCTTCTCTTTTTGTTTTCTTGTCTTTTTTCTTCCTCTTTTATTTTCTTGTCTTTTTCTTCTCTTTTCATTTTTTGTCTTTTTCTTTCCCTTTCATTTTCTTGTCTTTTTCTTCTCTTTTGTTTTCTTGTCTTTTTCTTTCTCTTTTGTTTTCTTGTCTTTTTTTTCTCCTTTTATTTTCTTGTCTTTTTCTTCTTTTTCGTTTTCTTGTCTTTTTCTTCTCCTTTCATTTTTTGTCTTTTTCTTCCTCTTTTGTTTTCTTGTCCTTTTTTTCCCCTTTCGTTTTCTTGTTTTTTTCTTCTCCTTTTATTTACTATATCTACTTAAATACTTATACTCTCTCAATAATATAATATAACTACTATCTATATAAACTTTT